GTTGACCAGGAGACTGTTTTTTCTGGGTGGCGGACCAGACAGTACGTCACTCAACGAATGCATCCGGGATTTCAAGCTAAACTGGAGGGGCCATGTGTTACACATACCGAGTTACCGCCTGTCGAGATGATCACTGTTTTCCGTGCCTAATTCGAAGTAGTGGAAACCAACGGGTGGATACAATTTGACATGACAGAAGGGAATGAAGAATGTAACTAAACATTTGGGTGCTGTTGTTGCTGTTCGTCTTCGAGGATGGAGTCTACTGACCCACCTTATGCTTGGCTGGAGACACTAAACAATGTAGCAGCTAACCGATATCAGTGGCGCTCGTGGGGTTAGTTCCTATTCAGATTGTCCAACAGTGTTGGAGGGGATAGACTGGCCCTAGTTCCCCTTTCTCTGTCCCAATTTCCTATCTTTTCAATAAAAGATTTTACTCAAATTAATTGACATGGTTGTACAGCAGTGAAGCGCTGGTTTTGTCAGTAATAACAATTCGCATTCCACCATACCCCCCAACTCTCCTTGAAAATTTAACGTTTACTATCTGTGTGCGTGGTTGATGCAATTGCAATCTTGGTAGATGCCCAGTTTTCCTGAGCACCTCCATCTTTTATAGGCTTCACACTGTTATGCAATCGTGTTGGAAACAATTAACCGGTGAAAAAAATCGAACTCTTTCTTGAAGTCGAGGAAATCCAAGGTTGTAGGGCGTCTATACACACGTCGTCCTTCTAGCATCCGATACGGTGTGAAGATGTGGTCCACGCAGTTCCTTCCTAGCCGGAATCCTGCTTGCTGTTCTCGGATCCCGTCTTCATGCGCCCTCGTAAAATAAGCGACGCAGTCTGGTTACAGTGAGTTAATTCCTTCGTAATTGTTGTATTCAATGAGGGCATCCTTTTTGGAAAAGATCGCCTTTATCGACTTACCTCAGCCGTTTGGGACGTTCTTTTTCTCCCAGATAAAGGCGAATAAGTTGGACAAGCACCGACAGCGAGTTCGTCGAGATCAGACGCTGAATGAGGTTTGAGGAAAAAAGGTATTCACTCATTTCCGGGGCCGTCAGGGGTTCCAAGTTCATTGTCAATGGCTGCTTTGTGGGTTGGGAATACGGCTAAGCAACTGCATTCAGCCAGCTAAATTGTTTTTTAAACTGTTCAGCCCATTGATTCAGGTGCTCTTTTTTATACGTAATAGAGCCGTTGTTATCTGTTATTGTTTCGCTCACCGAAGGCTTATTGGGGCCTGCTACGCGTATCAGCTGGAACAGTTTGCGCACATTTCTAGAGTTTCTCACACGCCCAATCTCTTCAACTTTCAGGGTTCATCGAGCTTCCCGACTGAGGTCTCATGGTTGTTCGATCGATACTGTGCTCTCGACACGGAGGAAAACGTGTTCGAGCTTGGACAGTTGGTCGCAGACGGAGTGCCCAGCATCATTCAGGGTTGCGGACAGTGCCTTCCAATTAGAGTTGCCAAAGGGACTTCAGCAGGCGGTCTTGGTAGGCTTGCTTCACATGAGGCTGCAAAAGCTTCCCAACCCCCTGGCGAGGTATGAGCATCTTGTGCAAGCACAGCTAAAAGCAGCTGCAAACAAGCGTATGATCCAAATCCACGTAGTTGTCCCAAAGTGAGCGACACTCAGTAGTTGACCCCTCTCCACCAATAGCTAATGGTGATGTGATCTATCCATGTTAGTGTTTGGGGCGAGCGCGTGGGACGCCATGTGGCCAAGTGGCATCAGTTGTTTCGGAAGTTAGTACTACACAGAAACAGTATGCGTTCTGCACATAACTGTAACAGGCGTTTACCGTTGTCCTTACTCCTCGAATCCAGTCCAAGACAATCACCTCTTCGCTGGTCCTCCAAAGCTTGCGCAGCTTTTGGTATCTAGCACATCGATAAATTTGTTTGCAAGTGTAAAATTTGGATTTCGTCCCATTTCACCCTGGGACGAATCGCATGCCGAACCTTGAAGCAGGAGTATCTCGGCTGTGTAAACTGACTGATACTTCTAAAGGACCTGATCCAAGGAAGGCACTGTCGTCAGCGTGCTCAGTGTCGATGATGTAACACCCCAGGAAATACTATGCCTGCGATTTTAAAGGCGTGTAGAGAAGATTCAAACAGCAGATGGATTACGAAACTGAAGTTTAACGGTGACAGGGAATACCTTAACCTGACACTAGTGGATGTCGTGTATTTCTAAGAAAGTTTGTCGCATAACTGTACGCGTGCGTGGGATGAGGCATACAGAGGAACCTTTACCAGACGGTGCCATAGTCCCTGACGACCACTGGAGTGAAATTCATTTTTCAGATAGAGCAAACTGCCATTGTTCATCACCGCAGTCCCAACACTGGAAAATTAAAGTTATGGCCAATGCCACTTCTGCCAGGACGGAATCCAGTGTGATTCTCGCGAGTCTCGTTCTCCGGATGACGAGACAACCTGCGTTGGATAATACCAGAGAGTGCCTTGGTGGTCTTCACATAATTTTCTCCTTGAATATAGAAATCACCGTCTAGGCGCTCGATTCTGTTGACACCCCGTCTTCATCACATATTTTGCAGTGAGTTGGTCAGATCAGTCACAGGATTTTGCCACTTTTGAAGGGTGTAGAATGCAAACCGGATAGACTAAGCGATTTGTTGCGCTAAAGCAGTGAGATTTTACGCTGGCCTTCCGTTATGGCGCAAATTGGTTGAACGGCAGCGAAGCATCACTGCTGAACACTGATTCCATGCTGTCGATGATGATAACGGTGATGATGATGACGAGGAGTAGGAGGGAGAGGAGGAGGTGGTTGTTGATAATGATGATTTAGAAAAGGGACTGATGTCAACATCCTATTTGGGTTCATATGGCTCTCCCAATGGTTGAGTAATGGGGTATGGCCAAAGTGTTCTTCAAAGAGTTGGGGATGACTTTTTTTCGATAAGTTGAGGGCCAGTCCTTCCGGAGGTCATTTCAACACTCATTCCCCTCGAACCACATCGCTCGATTAACAGGGACAGAGTGCGAATGCTTTCTTCATTCCTTGATATGGATCAGCACTTTCTGTCAATCCCTAGGCTAGTCGATGTCGTTGGCAGTGTAGGCACCTCGGAATAATTACGGTACGTTGGCCCCAAATCCCTCCCTCATCCAATCACTTCTTTTGCTCATTTTAATGAACCAAGCCTCATGTTTGCACAGTAGTGTAAAATCGATGTCACCACCGATATTGCTGTCTCGGATGATAGTGATTTTCGAGCGGTCTGCACGTACCATCGTCTTGCTGGCATAGTTTTCCTGGCATCATAGGCATCTGCTAATCGTGAGGAGACCCTGTGTTAATTGGGGTGCTCAAGAGACCTCAGTTAGGCTGTTTCAAGAGATTCGGGTATGGATTCTTTCGCCTTTTTCAATCGTCATCCAAATCATCGTTGTGTGTGTTGCGTTGTGGAGCCTTCTCATCCAACTTACCGCGTGTTTCAGCGGGAATCGATGTATGTGTTCGCGGTCAGAATCAAGTCGATTCCAAAAAGAATAGCAATCATGTATTGAAGCATTGTTGACTACCCCGTCGTTCAGCTGTAGCACCCTTTCGGTGCCTAGCTGCCATGCCACATGAAAGAGGCACGAGGACTGGGGTAATGCCAGGTTGCCCAAGCCTAGGTATCGTCAGGTTGTCCAAGCCCAAGCAAAAGCAGTCAAGATTCAGAGACCGGGTGCGAACTACGGACCTTCCGGTCAGTAAATTCGCGCTATAACCACTTGGTCCATCTCGCCCCCTAACTACCCCATGGTGCACCTGAGTGCATTAGCTGCCTGTAGTTGGTGGTTACTGGATAACCTGGGCGCTTGTACTGAAAGTCCCTAGTGGCTAGCGGTAAGTGATGTTTAGCACATAAAGACAGCTGTTGCTCCCTGTTATCTGTACGGTGAGCGACCCAGTGACTTCCTCCGGACCTGGGCATTTATATGATCCGTCAGAATCAAGATATATGTGCCTATCCTGTGACAGTTCTTCATTTCTCAGCGTCAGATCCGCTGTCCTCGAAGGGCTCTTTCCGCACAATCACGTGAAGGGTGGAAGAGAGCCAGAGGCGGTCAACCAATGACTTGGCAGTAAAGTGTGAAAGCCATTACCAGCAAACAGCTGCGCTGGTCATTGCCGTCTTCCTGGATGGGGACCCCGAGACGGGCCACATCAATGGCTAGAGACATTATCAGATATGGCCCAGTCGCGCCCTCAATGGCGCTCGTGCATCCAAGCTATTGCCTTCAATGCATAGCTCCTTTTCCAACCCCCCCCCCACACTTGACAGCCCATTGACAGTGCTGGATTTATGCACTAATTTATCAGCTCCCGCCTGCAATACGCAGCTACCAACCCCCTCTTCCAAATCATCGGTGAACGAAACTGCGGCAGCTAAAACCACTGTACGACGAGTACGCGGTTATTACAGCTGACAGTGATGATCATGGTGATCAGATCAGCTGAGCGTATGCTAATATTAATTGACCGCGGTTTTCAGCTGTTTTCACGACCAACCTATGCACCTCAAATCAATCGTAACGAGGCCTCGGTCCGTCGTTACCGAACAAGATTAGTTCCCCGCTTATTCTCCCGTAAAACTGCTTGCCTTTGGGTTTCTCTCCCAACTCCTGTTGTCCAAAGCTCCTATAATCTTCACGTTATAAAAACCAGGCTTGAAACTTATCTGTCTGAACCTCCACGCTTTTCCACACTTCTTTACCCCCGCTCTGTTTCTATTCATCGATCTAATTTTTTCATGTTTCGTTGAATGCTCCATGCTTTTAAGCATTGTCCTCAGCGCGGCTCTCAGCCTGCCTTTCTCTGTAAAAAAAGGCACTTTTTGAGTATTAAAATACAATACCCAGTGTTCCCCCTTTGCTTACGTTTTGTACATGTGCACTTATGTTTTGGAGCTTCGTCACCAAGACGGTTGATCAACAGTCCTGTTTCTATTTAGCATTCTGAAACCTGTCTGGTACGATATTGATCCGTTGTCACCGAATTTTCATTGCAGCTCATCTCTCCTTCACAAGAAGGCCTGATTACTTGGCACGGAATCGTTAGATATTCGCATCAGATTAGCTCTTTCTGATTTCACAGTTTATCCAGTCCCGATGGCCTTGTGTACCTCTTAGTTTACAAGAAACGCAGATAGGTCCAACCTTCCTTTCCTTGTGCAATATGATGGTATTGTTGCTCCAGTCGATCACTTCTCTGAAGTCATGACAACCAAGGATGACGAGTTTGAGGTTATCGAACTTTCCATGCTGGATAAGCGAAAGTTCTACCCTCTCTCAGGCCTGGGGTCTTTCACCGTCCACTCGATGCTCTACCCGCTTGTCCTGCTACGCATTCGACTGCAATTACAGGAAGGAGCCCACCTGTATACCGGATTGGCACACGCTACATCCTGCATTCTTCGAGAAGAGGGATTTCGGGGTCTGTACAGTGGATATTTTGTCAAATCCGCTCAAATAATATCAAGTAAGTGCCTTTTACGTGTCCACTGCGCAAAGTGTGGTTTGAAACTCTTATGCTAGTCCTCGCACTTTGGCACATCAAAAGGCATGTTAGCTTGAGATGGTTTTGTGTTCCTCGCACTATGGCACATCAAAAGGCATGTTAGCTTGAGATAGCCTTTAATGGGGACTGGGAAAACCTATTATAGATGTACTGCTGCATCGATGCACAAGGTCAAGATAGAATCTTCTTGATGGGGCGCCAATCGAGACGTCCTCTGCAGCTCTTCGCGAGATACCTATTCGGTTGATGCGATGTCCGCTTATTTCGAACGGTCTCCTGCCGGACGCTGTGTTTGGTCCCCACTTTCCTATCATCCTCAGGGGTTCAACCCTGTGTATTTCAGTCAAGTTTGACGATTAGATACTTCTCCCTGTTTTTTTTTGGCACCTCAGACAGCGATACATACATTTACATGCAAAAACAACCCCTGCTGTTATGTACTCACAGTTGTGGTGAGATTCGATTGGCTGGTAATTTGAGACAAACCGGCATTCTACACACAACTTCGAAGAGCCCTAGGACTAACTGCGATGACAGATTTGGCTAGCATATTAGGTGATGGCACGAACACAGGCAAAGTGCAGTTCATCACACATTGACAACCGTATGTTTGTTTGGGAGCATCATAGTCGACAGTACAACGCCAGTGTTCAAATTAATAACTTCAAGTGCTTCCAGATGCCTCAGCGAATTTACTAACCGGAAGGTCCGTGGTTCTAGTCCGACCTCTGCATCTCGACTTCCTTCCCCTAGCCTTGTAATACCCGCGTACTCGTCGTACTGTGGTTGTAGCTGCCGCAGTTTCGTTCACCGATGGTTTGAGGGGGAGGGGTAGGTAGCTGCGCGTTGCAGGCGGGAGCTGATAAATTGGTGCATAAATCCAGCATTGTCAGTGGGCTGTCAAGTGGTGAGGGGGTTGGAAAAGGAGCTATGCATTGAAGGCAATAGCTTGGATGCACGAGCGCCATTGAGGGCGCGACTGGGCCATATCTGACAATGTCTCTA